CCAGCCCTTTCTTTAATTTTTTATATTGAGACAAGGTCTAGCTAAATTGCAAAGGCTGGCCTCAAACTTGTCATCCTCCTGCCTCAGCTTCCTGAGCAGCCAGGATTACAGGCCTTTTACTAAGGACTTTCCCACCTCGGTCCATGAGTGAGCTCAACCTACTTCCTTTTCCAGGATTCTGGTCAGCATTCAGCCAACCTTGTCATTTCCAACTTGGATACAAATTTGTAATAAAACACACAGAGTTCAAGGTTAGGTCCTTCTGAGTGCATTGGTGAATCTCCCTCTCATTCTGTTTGTTTTCTTCTTTCTCTTTTAGTATGTTTTGATTGGGGAACAAAGGTGTTAGTCATGCATGAGTTGCCCACATTAAGGAAATTACTGATTCGGCAGTTTAATTACATTTGGAGGCCACTAAATAGGATTGTTTCCCTTTATTTAGACAGCCTGGATCTTCTTAGTCATGATTTGGGAATGTGAAAATCCAAGTGCTGCTTTATCTTGAAAACTTACCAAACCCATCACAGGAGTTTCTCCGAGCAAACGAAATGTCGTGTTGAGACACTGCAGTTCGGATGTCCCTAAACCCTCTATTTAAGATTTCTCATCTGGCAAAATCCACCATCGCCTGCCGCAGAGCTGGGTGGGTGGTAACAGGCTCTAATCGTAGTCCCCGGTTCTATTTCTGCAGAATGAAGGCACTCAGCTGTGACGGTTCCTCGTCCCTGCACCCGGGTTTTCCTTCGAGGGCTCCTGTTTTTTTTTTTGTTTTAACTCAACCAAGAGATGGTCTATTGTGGTAGCAAGAGTCCTGCTAACCTAACAAGGCTGAATTCAAAACCGACAAGTACCAGTCTCTTTAAATATCAGAAACCCAGTGTGGGAGATCACCAAGAGCTGATTCCAGTCTGACCACCCCATCATCTAAATTCGGAATCAGAGGAAGCCTTTCCCAGTGACCAGACTGGTGGTTCCCATCTGCCTAGTCTTTGCTTCCTAAAAATAAGTTACCAGAAGCCTCAGCGCTATGGTTGAGAAGGAAGCAAAATAATCAGTTGTCAGGGAGACGGTTCCTTTGCCAAGCCAGGAGGGGAGCCCCTGGAAGAGCAGAGGCCACCACCTCCAAAAGCCCAGAAACTTGGGTGGTGAGAGACATGGCTCAAGTTCAAGGAGCCCCCTCCCATGCAAATTAAACCACAGTAAGCCATCACTTCATGCCTCCAAGACTGGCTATTGCCAAAAGACAAAAGGTTAGGAGGGTTGGCAAGGATGTGGAGAAAGGTAAGCCTTCTCGTACACTCTGGGCAAAATGTTTTTGACATAGCCTGTGTGGAGATCCCCCAGAAAATTAAAACATAGAACTACCATATAAAACAGCAATCCCTCTCCTGGGTAAGTATCCAAAGGGTATGAAATCAGTTAGTGGGAGAGATATCTGCCCCCTCCTGGTCATGGCAGCATTGTTCACAAGTTACCAAATGACATAAAGTTAAGTGTCCATCAACCGAGGAGTGGAGAAAGAAACCATGGTAGAGGACCCCAATGGAATACCACACAGCCTTTACAAAGATGGAAATCCTCTACCTTTTGCAACAATGTATATAAACTAGAAGGACATTAAGTTAAGCAAAATAAACAGGGTCCAGAAAAACAAAAGTCACATGATTTCACTTACACGTAAAGCTTAAAAAGTTAAAAACCACAGAAACAGAAAGCAGAGTGGAACTTACCAGAGGCTGAGGGATAGAAAGGATGGGGGTTGATGTTGGACAAGGGTCACAAAATTTCAGTGAGACAGAAAAAATAAATTCAAGAGATCTATTACACATTGTGATTGCTATTGACAATAGAGTATATACTTGAAAATTATGAAGAGTTGATTTTAAATGTTCTCATGACCCCCAAAAGCTAAGCATGTGAAGTCATGTCTCTGTTTAATAACCTGATTTTGTAATTCCACAGTATATACATATATCAAAGCATCAGGTTTTACACCATAAATATGCATACTTTTTATTCATTAATTAAAATTAATTAATTAATTAATGGTCCTCTCCACCCCACCCCCAGAATAATCCCAAGACTCTGAATGCCCAGTGGATGTGACCAGAGTCCAGACCTTTCCTGACACTGGGCTGGCTCTTTCCCACCAGCCCACCCACCAGGACGGAGACCTCACTCAGGACAAACTCGGGCACTCAGTGGAGTGGTCTAAAAGATGAGCTTGAGATAGTTCCACAGCCTATCCCAGGAAGTGCTGTCTTAAGTGAATGTGACTTCCCAGGCTGGGTGGGGGACTGTCGTAAGGTATGTAGCATCCTCCCAGTGGAAAGGCTGCCATGCGTGCCTCTTCCAGCCTGTGTTCCACGGTAGCGTTCAAGGGTGAGGAACTGGGTGGGCCCTTCCCAGGAAAGCCCCTGGCCCGGCCCCTGACCCCACCCCTGGCCCCCAGCTGTGCTCACCACCTTTTGTACTTCCTCATCTACCTGACCTGGACCTCCCAACTCTTTTGGCCCTGTCTGTGGGCCAGAGGGGAAGGTATGGGATAACTAGACTCTAGAGACCTGGCCTCTAAGTCCCCTTTAGTCACTGCCACCACCTGCCACACCTGGGCCCTGGTGGAGATGTGTGCACCACTGTTTGAGGTAACAAATCCATGATCTTCATTTGTTTCCTGCAGGCTTCTGAGGGTCCAGCTGGGCCTTGAGGACGGAGGGTTTTACCTAAGCTGGAGGCAGTGAGGATGGTTGTCTTGCCCCCCCCCCTTACTCAAATGCCAGTCCTTTAAATTCCCATGGCTGAAAGAAAGGAGAGTAAGGGGGAGGAAAAAGTCATTCTTCCTTAGTGTAACCCTAGACCAAAAAATTCTGGTTTGGTCACCTCATCCTAATCAATGACATTATGCAGTATTCTCTTAGATAGATAACATTTTGAGATTCATTTCTCTTTTGGCAAAAAAAAAAAGTATTTTATTAAATTAAAAATGTTGTCAGAAAAGATGGAATACTATTCAGCCATAAAATAGAAATCCTGTCTTTTGCAGTAACATGAATGAACTCAAAGTATACTATTTTACATGAAATAAAAATAATGCATGACCTCACTCAGGTGGAAGCCAAAGAAGTTAATTTCAAAGAGGAGGAGAGAACAGAATATTGGTTACCATAGGCTAAGGGTAAGAGAGGGAAGGGAGACAGGGAGAGATAAGTCAGTGGGTATAAAGTAAGAGTTCAAAGAGGAGAAATAATTTCCGGTGTTCTGTTTCACAGTTGGGTAACTGTGGTTAACAATATTGCATTGAATATATCACAACAGCTAGCAGAGAAGATATGGAATGTTCTGACCACAAATAAATGTATGAGGTGATGGATATGCTAAATACCCTGACTGTGTGTATGTATGTGTGTGTGTATATCATATAACTGAATTGAAATATCACACTGTAATATTTTAATAAGTGTGTACAAGTGTTATATGAATCAAAAACAAATAAAAATTTTAAAAATAAATATAAATGCAGGAAAAAAGGTTTTTAGAGTTCTCCCAAACAATGAAGCAAGTGAGATGGGACCTGCCCTCTAACTACCAACAACTGGCGAGCTATAAGAAATATAGGAACCAAGTGGTTTTCATCTATTGGCCAACAGACTGTGCAAAGCTGTGACCTACAGAGGAGGGTAAGTCAAGTGAGCTCCACCCCAGATTTCCCTACTTTCTGCCTGAACTAGTTGCCCAGACCATTCAGGGACATGGAGCTCAAACAGACCACAGTGAGAAGACAGTGATAGAAGTTCTGCTGAGGCAGATGGAATGCATGGGGTAAGGTACTGGTGAGCAGAAAGGCACCAAATAAGGAATTCCAGAAATCTGCAGAAGGGTCCTCTTAAGTTTTTGGTCAGACACTAAACTGCATTCACATAGCACAAGACACCAAGAGACATGGCTACAAAGAGCTACTGAGAACCTGGAGCTGTGTGGAGATCCCACAGGCCTGGGAGACAACATTTCCAACCAGCCAGAGGGGAGGTAAATCCCCGAGCACCTACCTAGCCATTCAGCTGAGATGATAGAAGGAGCACACTATACCACTCTAACTACAAAAAAAGATTACTCTAAAAGCAATCTTGAAAGGCTTTTATAAAAGCCTGAAAGGATTAAGTGGGTTTTAATGTAAATTAACTTACTATCTCCAAGAAAAAAAAATATATCCTATACTCCTTAAGGGAAAATAACAATATCTAGAAATTCACCAATATGCTATTCATCTCCAGCATAAGGTGAAAAATTTTAGATCATATGAAAAAATACCAAGTGATCCACAAGCAGAAGAGGAATCCGTTAATAAAACAAATGAAGAACACTGGGAATGAGGCACAGGCCTAATGTTCCAGCTATTAGAGAAGTGGAGTATGGAGACTCATTTGAGCCCAGGAAAGAGAGGCCAGCCTGGGCAACATAGAGAGACCCAGAGAAAGAAAGATGGGGGTGGGGGGAGGGGGGGAGAGAAAGAGGGACAGAGAGAAAAGGAAAAGAGAAATAGACTAAGAACAATACAGATGTTGGAAGGATCGGACAAACATTTGAAAATAGTTATCATAAATATGTTAAAAGATTTAAATGAAACATAACCATCATGAATGAAGAGATGCACCATTTTAATAGAGAAAAGGAAACGATTTAAAAAAAGAACCAAAAAGAAAGTTGAGAATCAAAAAACAAAATATATGAATTCAGAATACATTGCTGGTGGAGGTATAAAATGTTACAACGAGTGTGGAAAACTCTTTGTCGTTTTTTATAACATTAAACATTTACCTTCCCTTTGATCCAGTAACTCCATTTCTAAGTATTCAGCCAAGAGAAAATAAACATCGTTGCACACACACACACACACAAAAAAAAAAACACTGTACAAAGATGTTCACAGCAGTTTATTCATAATAGTCAGAAACAACAAGTGAACAAATTGCGGCATAGCCAAACAATGGAATATTACTCCACAAAGAAAAGGAACAAGCTGCTGGTACATGCAGAAATGTGGATGTATATCAAAACTATTTTGTTGAGCAAAAGAAGTCACACACAAAAGAGTACACGCTTTTGTATTCCATTTATTCCAGAAGAAGTTCTGGAACAGGAAAAGCTAACCTATGGTGAAGGAAATGAGAATAGTGGTTGCTTCCATTAGAGGGAGTGGCAGGGAATTGACCAGGAGGAACACACCTTGGCTTCCCAGATGACGAAGGCGTGGGGTTACATGTGTGCCTGCCTTCGTCAAAACTGATCAAACTATGTAGCTAAGATCTGCACATTTCCATAGTGAGCTGAGCATTCGCTATGTCAACTATACTCGTTTGTCAAGTTAGTTTTTAAGGTTTCAAAAATGCCACCCACTCACCCCTACCTGGGAAACCGCACCGAAAATTAGCAGTGCCCCCACCTGAGCTCTTCCACTGGGGACGTCCTCACCTCCCAGGGAACCAACCTTAACGGCCTGGAGTGTGTCCTTCCACCCTCCTCTGCATGCGTCTCAAACTCAGACAGTCCTAAGTTGTCACCAGGTGTGTACAGGAAGGGGTGTGTCACTTTTTTTTTTTTCATTTGAATGGGTTTTCAGTGCACACATGGCTGCCGCTTGCTCCTGTCATCCAACCAGACCCCTAGTCAGAAAACGCAGGTTGTATCAGCACGTTGCATTGAACAGACAAATCACAACTGATCAATCTACCTGCTTATCTTCACCACCACGCACACTCTCACACACACACACACACACATACACACACACACCCTGAGGGCAAGTTGTCAGACTGTCTCAGTTTCTGTCATTATAAACAGAGCTGCAAAACTTCCTTACTCCTCTACCTCATCTCTCTAGTGCTTAGTTTCTAGGAGACTCTCCCAAGGTGAGATCTTTGAATAAAAAAGACAAGGGTGTAGCCAGGTGGTGCACGCCTATAAACCCAGCACCTCGGGAGGCTGAGGCAGCAGGAGTTCAAAGCCAGCCTCAGCAAAGGCGAGGCACTAAGCAACTCAGTGAGACCCTGTGTCTAAATAAAATATAAAAAAGGGCTGGAGATGTGGCTCAGTAGTCGAGTATCCCTGAGTTCAATCCTGGGTATCCCCCCCCCAAAAAAAAGACAAGAGTGTTATTTGTTTGAATAGATGTTGCAAATTGTATTCCAAAAGCATTGTAGAAATCTCATTTAGTGTTCTATCTGATACATTTCAAGTGTCTGTAGACTGGCTTCAAATATGGAAATAAATTATGAACATAGAATTACAATCATTAATTCTAGGCAGTTAATCTAGGCTTTGAAGGAGAAAAATTCAGCAACATATCTAAACCTACAAATAACCAAGTTATTCTGTCAACACCTAACCTGAGAAGCAAGAGAGCAGGATGGTTGTTGAACTGCGATAGTCCTGGCCAGGGGCCTACCCACACCTGCCACAATTCTCACCATGACCTTGAACTAATGACTCATCTTGTTCACACCTGGGATTCCTCATAAATGAAATGGCAAATGACAACAGCGTCTACATCGTGAAAAATTAACAATAATGCAAAGGACCTGCTGTATGGAGAGCGGAAGGTGTCCGACACTGCAAGAGGAAATAGGTCCATTAGTGATCATCGGTGAGTTGCTGAACTTCTCTGGTTGTTTCTCCATCTGCAAAATGGGGACAACACCACCTGTCTCATAGGGGAAGGAAAGTAATTGGATTAGAACAATCTTTGCCTCCTATTAAACTTTAAACAAAACCAGCCAATACCCCTGTTAAAAAGCAACACCGACATGAGGAACTAGACTTGCACAACTGCCGAGACCCACGCGTGGTGCCCTGTGGTTGGATGACACACACAACCTTGCAAAACACAGGGGAAAGCTAAGCTCCTACCAAGCCTATGGAAGATACTGAACTGCTGAATGGCCATGCAAATCCTCTCAGATGAAGAAAGAAGTCACTAAGCAGCCTCAGGAAGATTGGTTTCCCTCCGTGAGGAATTATATACATTCATCTCCTCTCGTGGCCAAGTGGCTCTAAGCACCGGAGTATCTCAAGTGATTCTATTGGCTGCCAGACAAGCAGTGGACTTCCTTCTTGCAGGGTGCTTCTGCAGCTCTCCCCTTCCTGGGGGATGCGTGCCCAGGTCAATATCTTGGCAGCCATAGATACCAGATGGCACAGTGTGTGAGTGACCTGGAGTGTCCAGAGGGAGTCATTCCAGTAACCTACCCTGAGTGAGCACTTGCTGTGCCTGAGGGCCTAGACTTGGGACTGGAAGGGAGGGGGGTTGTGCAGAATTGCAGAAAACGATCCCTGCTCTGCATGATGCAACCGAGACACCCCCACTGACTGTGTACGCTAGAGATCGCCAACCAGTAGGACCTGCCCTGTCAGTCTGGAGGTTTCCAACTCTCAGCTGTGGAATTCATTAATTCAATTGTGGATTAAGTTTTTGTTGTTGTTGTTTAAAACAAAAACTAAATAAAGTTAGCAATTGTATTGGGGAAAATCAACCATTAAATAAGCCCATTTTATGTATTTAACAGAACCAAATAAATAAGCTTGGCTTGATTTACCAAAGGGCCCTAATGATGTTCTTAGCCAAAAGTTAAATGCTGTTCCTTAGCTTGAGAACAGAATTATCAGTTCAGGTCATCAACTAAACTGACAGCTATTGACACTGCCTGGTACACGACAGAGGAGAGGTACAGAGAGGGCCACCAGTAGCTGGATTCAGGGAAGGAGCCTGAGACTATGCTGGGCTGGACACTGTACCCTCTGGTAATCCATTCACACAGCATTGATTTCACTGGAAGATGGACAGTTCCCACCATCCAAACACTCACATCTGCTCCCAGAGAGGAACAGGTCCCACTCTCAAGGAACCAAGGAAATCTGATCTGTGGCCAGAAGGTTGCGTGTGGAAACTGAACAAAGGATGATGGCTACTCTTGGAAGACTCTGAATGCAGCCTCCTGGAAGGTTTTTAGGTCCCCACCTCCAGGTGCAAATCTGCCTGGATTGACTGAGGAGACCCAGGTCCAGGGACAGAGAATCACTCTTAGAAGTAGCTTTCTGTCCATTCCTGAGGGCTCCCTCCATGGATCAGTCCCCTCCATATATGGCGACCCCTCTAATGTGGAAGAGGAGTTACTTAAAACATACTCACATGGAGGCTCCCAATGACACGTCTTTCACCAAAACTTGGGGAAACAGATCTGCAAGGGGAATCCCAGTATCTGGGATTGCTCTTCTCTGTAGGGCAAAACTTTCAGTGGGAACTACAGTCCTTCAACTGGAAAATTTAAATGCAAAGGGAATAATTGGATCCTGGGAGATAGGAGCCACGTAGCAGCCACGGATCACTAAGGACATGGTGGGCATAATGGCAGTAATGAGCAGCCAGAGGCAAAGCCAGCATACAGTGCTCTGACTCACGCAGACTTAGAGGGCTGGCTGGTGGATCATGGTGTTCCTAGAAGGGAAATGGAAGCCTGCACAGCCCTTGCTTTATCTGTATCAGTAGAAAGCCTCCAATCCAAGTGGACTCAGTCTAACTCAAACCATTAAGAACAGAGAATCTTAGTTCCTCAATCCATTCCTGGACTTGAGCCAGTTTACAGACCCAGGATGAAGAGGAGGCCAGGTTCCCTTGAGAAAGGACCCTAGTACATCACAAGAAATTTATACTGTGAATTCTTTCTCCTAGGCCTCCCCAAAGGGACCCACGACCTTCTACCAAGGTAGCTGGTAAGCAGTCACCCTGTAGACCTACTGGCCTCAAGGAACATGAGTACACTTTTCTTGTAGGGCACAAATAATATATGGTGTGACTTTTTTTTTTTTTAGCTTTGCAATCACCCAGTCATTGTATGACTGTTTTTTTGTATTTGAAGCCAAATCAAATCAATTCATATTTTAATGAATCACTTCCATGATATGTTTCAAGTATCGGTGTGACACAGGAAGTACACTAGAGAAAAACATCAACAACCGGGAATCCTCAATTGTAAAAGGAGAAAAGAGAATAAAATAAATTTAACCAGGCAGCAGATATAAAATAAAATGCATTCCCATGTGTTTCACATGATGTCAAACCTGGGTCATGGCCTAGATTATCTGACTAATGCTTTATGAAACATAAGTGAATTGCTTATTGATTAGAGGCTTAACGATCAAGGAGCCTTTTAATCATTATCCCTGTCTCCTCCCACCTCTGCCCACCAACGCCTCATGCCCACTGTCAGAGGGATCTTTTGAAAATGTAATCATTCGCCTGCTTAATCTACTCTCAAGATTTCAGGGTAAAACCCAAATGTTTTAGGATATAATTCAAGACCCTAATGATTCAACCTCATCTCCTAGGAATCCCTGCTTCACAGCCTCTGCCCCAGCCTCCTGAGGATGCCTCTGTATTTCTGAAAACCAAGTTCTCCTCACCTGGTACTACCTTCTCCATCTTTTCTGCTGTTATATCCTACACATCCTTCAACTCCAGATGTTATCTCATCTCTAGATAGTTCTATTATGTTTTCAGAGTTCCTTTTCTGAATTTCATATACTATGCTACAGCTACTTGTCCTCCTATGTTTCCCATTTATCGCTTTTTAAAATTTATTTATTTATTCTAATTTGTTATATATGACAGCAGAATGCATTTTAACTCGTAGTATACATATAGAGCACAATTTTTCATGTCTCTGTACACTTCTCCCTGAGCAATGCCTGGTATACAGTAAGTGTTTATAAACAATTGGTGGGTGGTAGATGAGTTGGTTCATTGAATGAATCCATCAATCAATGGGAAACAGCAAATTCTCAGCTAATAAAGACAAAGATAAAGATAGATAGATAGATAGATAGATAGATAGATAGATAGATAGATAGATAGATGAAGAAAGAAATAATTCTACATAGGTAAATAGGAGAATAAGTAATAGATGGGCAGATAGGAAGGTAGGTAGATGATAGATGGATGGGTGATTGGATAGATGGATAGATAGATGATAGGTAGAGAGGGAGGGAAGGAGGGAGAAGGATCAGATTTCCTAGAGTTCAGTACTCCTCTTCTGCCGTCCAAATTAATCATACATTCTACTATAAAACTAAAAAACATTTGTTATTTTTGTCACTAGGAAAAATTGGCAGGGTTTTGGCAAAAGAAATGGGGTGCAGGTGATAGATAACCCAATCTCTTTTTCTCTTACTGAAACCTACCTTGGAAAAAAATCTCAATTTTTCAGGGAAGCTCCTTAAGACAAGAGAACCCAGGCTTCTAGACACACGGCAAGATTTTATAGCCAAAGCCAGCATCTCCTTACAAAGTCCTCACACTCCCACACTGCATTTCAGGGACAGATCAACCAGGAGTCACACTGGCTTCCCATCAGCTCCGACAGGGCTGTGCTGAAGACTGGTCTGCAATTAGTTTAATTAGCTGATGTCAGGCTCAGACATCTGTCTGCCCTTTCTTGACTGCGACTTCTCAAACATGCCCTAAAATTGGCACTTTGGTGATCAAAGCCTGTAGAGATCATCTCATTGACATACGTCCATTCCTACAGAAGGCCAATAAGATTGCTAGTAGTATATACAAGAGCTGAGGGACTTTGTTGAGTGTGTCACGTGCCTTATCATCCTGGGGTCTCACAACAGCTCCACAAGGAAAGTACCAATGTTAGTATCTCCCCATTTTACAGATGAAGACACCAACTCACAGAGAGGTCCAGTCCCTTGGTCAGGGCCCACAGCTCTTAGGAGTGGAGCTGGGATGCCAGTCTAAGCAGCCATACACACCCTGAAGCATTAAAATGATAAGAATGTAATTCCTTCTTGGGTCTAAATAAAATTACTTTCATTTCTGTTTTTAGAACTGCAAACTATAAATTTGTTTTAGTTTCCTGACAGGCAGGTCGCTGATACCAGGCCTTCATTGATGGGGGCAATCAAAGAAAGAAGTAGGGGGCACTGAGAGACACTGCTGGGTACTCAATATACTCCCCGCCAGCCCGCTACACCCTCTACCCCAACCTTCCCCAGCCTGCAAAGAGAAGAGGCGTCATTTCCGGCCCATATTCACGAAGTTCAGCATAGTCGTACCACATACCAGCAATTCCACTCCCACATGTATACCCAACAGACATGGGAACACACCCATGGAAAAAAATGACACATAAGTGTTCATAGAAGCCTTATTAATACTAGACAAATTCAGGGAAAACCCAAAGAGCCATCGACTTATGAATAAGTAAACAAAATGTCACATATTCATATAATGGAATCTTATTCAGCCTATAAATTAAGAAAATACTGATTCCATGAATGAATGAAATTCTATAACATGGATGACCTTGAGATCGGTAAGCTAAGGGAAAGAAATGAGACGCCAAAGTCTACATATTGTAAGATTCCATTTATATGAACTGTTCAGAATAGGCAAATCCACAGAGACCAGAAAGCAGAATTACAGATACAAGAAATTGGAGGGGGGAGGGGACAGACAAATGGAAAGTGACTGCTATTGGGTATGGAGATTCTTTTTGGAGTGATGGAAATGTTCTGGAATTAGACAGTGATGATGGTTGCACATCTCTGTGAATTATGCACTTTAAAGAGGTAATTTTATGGATGGGACTTATATCTCAATAAAAATAAATATTTTTAAAAGATTAGCAACTGCATACAAAATTTTGAATGCCCTGAAATTGGAAGAGATCCTACATGAAAGAATTTTGATAGATGCTTTTTCAAATTTCAAAACATTCTTTAAAATGTGCATATTTTTACCAGCAGAGAGTAAGGAAGCAGAAACTGTCCTAAAGCATCAATAATAAATACATTTCAATCAATCATGCTAGAGGAGAGGCTAAATTATCCTTCCCTCTGTGGGAAACTATATTATAAATTCATCATCATATGACACTCTACAGCCAAAGATTATAAGAGAAAAACATTAGAGATATGTCAAGAAAATAATAAAATTATCTTATTTTTTCTGAGTTTATATCATGTTCATTGTATTTGTCAGTTAAACAAGTGTTTTTTTATATTTATTCTTTCTCTAAATAAAAAAGTTGTCTTTATATGTAAAAAAGTTGGGAGAGATAGAGGGAAGCCTTGCTGGGGTGGGATGGCACTCAACCTATAGGACTATGACCTCTTCTCTATCTCTTTCTTCCAGGAAGCTAGAGAGGAGAGACTTGAACCTGAATCTTGGCTTTCTGCTGCTTCTGCCTGGTCTCTCATCTCCAAAACCTGGAGAAGGTACTTGGGCTTCTCTGTTACAAGAAGGGGACACTCGCTCCCATTCTGGTGTTCTCAGAGTTTCTCAGATGGGTCCCTGGGTGGGGTCAAGGTGACCTTGAGGAGGGTTCAACTGGCCTTAAGGCTCAGATAGTGCAAACACTCTGAGGGCTCTGGAGTGGACTTTGATCATCCAAAGTGAGGCCTGCCAGGCCAGAATTCTGCTTAAGTTCTTGGAATTAAATCCCACATTCACAACATAAATTACCTTTCTTTTTTTGTTGTTGTTGTTATTATTGTTATTGTTTGTTATTGTCCTGGGCACAGTACCTTCCTGAATAGCCACAGATTGGAGGACTGATAGCCATCAAGACAGGATTTTCTGGGTTCTCTGGTTGTGATCAGATCTCAGATTTAGCACAGTTTCTGAAAAAAAAAAAAAAAGGAAATTTATGATCCAGGATGCCACAGATGGATAGTCTGGAGAAAAGGAAAATGTGATTGTACATAAAAGCAAGAAATGGAGACTGGAGCTGTTGGGCAGACACTGGAAGACCTCAGATGCCACCAAAGATCCCCCCCCTAGCCCCACCCCAAGACTTAGGAGTTTCACATTCTAGTAGCATTCCTTAGCAACCCACACAAATGCTAGGACCGAGATGCCCAAATCAAGAACAGAAACTAACTTCAGCTCTACCACCTACCTGCGCCTCTTTATGACTTCATCCCAAGGACTGAGACAGATGACTGTGAAGAGATGGATGTCAGGAGATAAATGTCATTGGTCCCATTAATTCTACAGGTCACTCCGAGATCTCCTCTGTGCTGTTGTGCTCTGTTATAATAATGACCATCAAGCCTTAGCATTTATTTAACATTTTGTAATTTATCTTAACTTATTGGATCCTACTAACTCCAGGAAGGAAGTACGACAGTATAACAATTGTGCAAAGAAGAAAACTGAGAGCCGGGGAGGGGAGTGAAGAAGGTTTGGCTGAAGTTACCAAGTTTGCAAGTGTTTTGAGGCTGAGAAGCTGTCTCTCTCTCCAATATTAATGAAAATCCTGCAGGTCTGAGAGTCAGATCAACCCAGGCTGAGGTTTTCTTTAGGCGTTGTTTTGTTTTTGGGTGGGGGAGGTCTTGGGTTTTTTGGTTTTTAATATGGAAGGTAGGGGTTGCCTTCCAGTGCAGTTGCCCCTGGGAAAGGCCACATCCTTTTTCCTTCCCATATTGGTAGATACAGTCAGCTCTCATTCCTGGGGTTCCACATCTATGGATTCAACCAACCACAGAGCAAAAAGTATTTGGGAAAAAATTTTTGTCTGTACGGAGCATGTACAGATTTTTTTTTCTTGCCATTATTCCCTAAACAATTCAGTAGAATAAGTACTTACATAACATTGACATTGTGTTGAGTATTATAAGTTATCTAGAAATGATTTCAAACATACAAGAGGATGTGCACAGGTTCTGTGCAAATGCCACACCATTTTATATAAAGGACTTGATCTGATAATTTGGGGTCCCCCAGAGGGTCCTGGAACCAATCTCCTCTGGATATCAATGGACCACTGATTGTTTTACATAAAATCAATTTCCAGGACTCCTGAATCTTAGAGCTCTCCCATTTAAGAACTGTGGGTCCAATAAATAAATAAAACAGAACCATGGAACAAACTCTTGCTGGTCAGCTCTCTTTTCAGAGAAGAGCATAAATTTACTTTGCTCTTCAGCCTCCCTACACCTCACCTGCAATAGATAAAGGAAGGAAGAATGTGTCAAGAAGTCTTCACACAGGCTCAGTCTAAAAGCTGCCACCTGCTCAGCAGCAATGGAACAACACACTCCAAACACCTCAGCCGGTGGCCAGGGCCGGTCATTGATCTGGTTCCAAGCCCATGTTCTTCCGCAGGCCCTATGCATACAGGAGACTTTTCACTGGACTCTCTGTTTTCTGATGTGGCCACACCCAGGCACCTGCAAAGCTGGGAGGTCCCACAGAGACTCACCCAGTCCAACGAGAAGTTCAGTCACATCCAATCAGTAGAACAAGACAGGCACAGAGATGGCCACAGAGATACAAAGCCACCCAGAGCCCAGGCAGCAAACACGAGGGGTAAGTCAGCAAGCTCTTAACTGCAGGTAGAAGCAGGGCAAATGGATATTTATCCCCAAAGGCAGCCCTTAAAACTGTCTCCCACATGGCCCACCATGCTGATCTTCTTTGGAGTTTATAAATTCAGATTATGAAATGCATCAAAGAAGATTACTATAGACTACCAACTTTACACACCTTAGGAGAAGCTGTTTCAATCACATCACCCTCCCTCTCTGTTCAAACCTCCCTCCCTCTTTCTCTTTCATCTCTTTATCTGTCATCTGTCTATCTCATCCATACAGGACGTGAGCAGCCCTGAATCCACAGCATTGAGCATCAAAAGGCAACACAAACCTGTGCCCAGCTAAAGCAGGGGCAGAGACGCTGCGCTATCCCACGCCTTCATCTCTCCATCCATCCCTCCATCCACTGGCTGCAGCTCTCCCTTCTTCTTGCCAGACATTTATCCACTCACTTGGGCATCAGGTATTAATAATCCCAACTACATGCCAGGACCTTTGAATCATTCAGTCCCCTTTCCCAAGATCCTCCCAGTGTCCAGGGAAAGGCAGGAATAGGAGCACAAGATGACAAGCACCTTGGGAGGGACACAGAATGGCATAGATAGCTTCAGAGAGTGCGTGAAAGGTAAGTGGGAGTTGACCAGGAAGACAAAGAAGGGAAAGAACATTCATGGAAGTAAAAAGAGCAGCAGGTAAACAGCCCGAGAGTCTGGGAGGATCAAGGCCAAGTGCAGAGGTATCTCTGGGAGGAATTCTCTTCCACTGCTGATTTGTAACAATAATGAGATAAAGTCTTCCAGTCACAGGCCCTGTTTGGAGTTGACCTAGTTAAAGCTGAAATGGTAATACCAGGAAAAGAAAAGACAGGAAACTACGCCGCAGGAGTGGTAATGAGTGAGTCAGGTTCTGGGAATGGTGAATAAGCCAACCAAGCTGGTGTGGTTCATTTGAACAACCCTCCTACCCTGTGAAGGGACAAGAAAACTGCTATGCTAGTCTCTGGGCACAGGAGAGTCCACAGAAGCAGCCCTTCAAAAATAAAGTGTTCTAGCTGGATGTAGTGGCAAAGGTCTATAATCTCAGCAACTCAGGAGGCTGAGGCAGGAGGATTGCAAGTTTCAGACTATCCTTGACAACTTTGCAAAACTCTGTCTCAAAATAAAAAATATTTTAAAAGAGCTGGGGTCATAGCTTTGTGGTTTAGCACCCTAGGTTTGATCCCCAGGACGAAGGAAAGAAAGAGGTGGGGGAGGGAGGGAGGGAGGAAGGAAGAGAGAGAGGGAAAGAGAGAAAGGAGGGAAGGAGGGAGGGAGGGAGGGGAGAAAGTGCTGGCCCTTTTACTGGGCTCCATCTGGCAGGAAAGGTCATTGTCCCCCAATCCAGACTCAAAAATATTTCCCACAATCACCCCATCAAACAAGACCTCTCTGAAGATAACAAACTATATTTTATTTAATTTTTAATGGTACCAAGAATTGAACCCAGGGCCTTGCACATGCTAATCAAGCACTCTACCACTGAGCTACACCCTCAGCCCTTTTTATTGTAATTTCCTTTCCCCTAACTGATCAGCACTTATTACTTTTCATGTATATTCTCAATAATCTCCTCATTAACCCAGGAGGGAGAGGTATGGTCCTCTACTGATAGGAAAACTGAGATGTGGGAAAGTCTCCTGCCCTGTCCACACAGCTCAGGAGCTGAAGTGCAGAGGGTTAGTCCGGGTCTGCCTTCCTATGAAGCATCTGCTTTGACTCACCACAGGGACAGATCATTGTTCTTAGGACCCAGCGTGAGCACACATGCAGACTGGCATAATCAGTGTACCATGAGGGTCTGAGCTACTGACCTGAGCCCCAAGAGGATGACTGGCTCTTTCGTGTATATCCAAAGCATCATGTCTTAGTCTTATGAGAGGGGTTTGAGAAGCCAAACACTCTTCACTGGAAAGAAAGCAAGTTGTGTTGAGGGTTGCCTATGGCTGGCAACTAACACATCAGTGGAGACTGTTCTACCTCCTACCCAAGGGGGTGGGTGGCTTAAGACAACAGAAATATATTGTCTCATGCTCTGGGGGCTGGAAGTCCTGAATCAAAATGTCAATGGGGCCATGTTCTTTCTCACAACTCTAGGGCAGAATCCTCCCCTGCCTCTTTATGTTAGCCAACTTTTCATACCTATGAGCAAAATACCCGACCTGAACAACTTAGAGGAGGAAAAATGTATTTAGCCTACTCTTTCGGAGATCTCAGTTCATGGTCCACTGACTCCATTGCTCTAGGCGTGAGGTGAGGCAGAGCATCATGCAGAAAGGGCACGGTGCAGGAAAGCTGCTCAGCTCACGACAACCAGGAAACAGAAAGAGGAAGGGACTAGGAAGAAGACAGACTCTTCCAGAGCATGCCCCCAGTGACCTACTTCCTCTAACTAGATCCCACTTCCCAGTAATCCATTCAGCTATCAAATAATTAATTCATCAAGTGGATTAATTCACCGATGAGATTATAATCGTCACGTCCAATCATTTTACCTCTGAACATTGCAGCATTGAACTTGAACCCATGAACTCTTATGGGGACCTTCCACATCCAAACCATAATACTTCTCCGTCTCTTTTGTGTTTGCCAATAATCCTTAGTTATCCTTGGCTTATAGATGCGTCACTCAGTTGTATGGTCTCCATGCCTATCTGCCTGCGTCCAAATTTCCCCTTTTTATGAGAATGCCAGTCATATTGGATTAGAGTCTATCCAAATGACCTCATTTTAACTTGGTTAGCTACTATAGAGACTGTGCTCCTAAACAAGATCATTTTCTGTCCCGGGGATTAGAACTTCAACATATCTTTTAGGGGGGATATAGTTCAACCCATAACACAACTCAACTGCTAACCCACATTCTCCAACCTTGATTCATCTGCTGCCTGCCATTGGCTCCCTGCATCCCTAATCTGAAAATAATTATGACCTAATGTCTCCCAGTGCTGGAGATTGTCTGGATCCACGTCTGGAACACTCCCATCCCCAGCCTTGAACCTCACCCCGTCCACGCTCTGTCCACATTGTTCTCCCCACTGGATTTCTGTGAGGCACAGAGATCCTCCTCTCCAGGCAAGTTGCCAATTTCACTTTTTATTCCCACTTGCTAACAGCATCTGGCAGCTCCTAGCTAACAGCCTGGTGCCACTCTGTCATAATCAGTCCTTTGTCTGCGGCTTCCGGTTGGGCATTTACATGCAGCTGGGGACAGTCAGCCATTTCCCCAAAAGCTATTGTGTACTTAAGAAGAAAAACTTAAGTCTTCTAATTAACCACCATCCCTCAACATGGAAGCCAAGAGCGCATCCACTTTACCTCACTTCACCCTGCAGATGTTTCCCTGAGGTAAGGGGCAAGGGAAACTTCTTAACAATGTGGCAGAGTTTTTACTACTTAGCTAAGCACTTTTCCACCCACAATGCCTTAGAAATAAGCCAGCAGGACAAGAATCCCCACTGGGGAAATGGAGGCCAATCCTTGTAGTTAAATCATTGGAAAGTGGTCTGTTGGGCCAGGTGTAGTACTCTGTGGTCACATCTTTCCTGTTCACAAGGCCTAGAGAAAGCTCACTGGAAGACACCAAACTTCTAGGATGCCCACACTCCTCCTGCAACCCTGAGCCAAGTTCCTTGTTGTTCCCCACCACCACCACCACTGCCAGTCTTTGCTCTCT